CAGACAGACAGACAGACAGACAGACAGACAGACAGACAGACAGACAGACAGACAGGTGGCTGCCTTATGAAAGTAGCCCAAAAGGGGTGGACAGGGTTTTACGTTTTGAGTGTTGAGCATACGGCTCAGTACATTTAGAAGTCCTTCGTCTATGGCTGTATTTGACAGCAATCATTTATGTTCCTAAACTACGGGAGGGAAGCAGTGATTTTTTGATAATGTAGACATTTGCCCCTGGTGCTGATGATTTATTTATAAATTCATTTTTTATATTTTTTTATTTATTTATTTTTATTTATTTATTTTTTTTTTTCTTTATTATTATGAGATTTTTTTTGGGGTTTCACATTAATGGGCCTTTTGGGGGGGGGGAAGAAATCTTCGAGCGAAAGTGAGGCTCTTTTTCGGTTCCATTGTCATTATATTCAGAGGCCCCTCCTCTCGTCAAAATAACTCAATTCGAGTTGCCATTGTTCCTGGACATTTAAACATATGTTTGACATCCTCCTTTCCATGATTGTATCTTCGGCAACCTGGGCTGAGCTCTTCATTCACAAAGTTCTTATACCATCTCATGCTCGCATGCTCCAATGATGGTCCGACCGCAGTCTAGCTAGCTCAACCTGGTCCCAGCGACATGTGTTAATTGTTCCGGCTTGTATTTTGGTTTCGGGGTTAGGGGTTAGGGTTTTGGATTAGTTGTAAAGTTTTTGGTTTTGGGGTTAGGGTTTAGGGATTAGGGTTTTGGATTATTTGTGGTTTTCGGTTTTGGGGTTAGGGTTTCGGGTTAGGGGTTAGGGATTAGGGTTTTGGAATAGTTGTAAAGTTTTTGGTTTCGGGGTTAAGGTTTAGGAGTTAGGGTTCTGGATTAGTTGTAAAGTTTTTGGTTTTAGGGTTAGGGTTTGTGGGTTGGACGTTAGGGGTTAGGGGTTAGAGTTTTGGATTAATTGTAAAGTTTTTGGTTTCGGGGTAAGGGTTTAGGGGTTAGGGGTTAGTGGTTAGGGGTTAGGGTTTTGGAATAGTTGTAAAGTTTTTCGTTTCAGGGTTATGGGTTAGGGTTTTGGATTAGTTTCCAGTTGTTTTGGTTTACGGGTAATGGGTTAGGGTTTTGGGGTTAGGTTTTAAGAGTTGGGAGTTTTGGGTTAGGGGTTTTTGTGTGCTTTGCTTAGACGTTAGGGTTAGAGGTTAGGGTTAGGGTTTAGGGTTATGGTTGAGGTTGAGGGTTAGGGGTTTGGAATGGGGTTAGGGTTGGGGTTATGGGTTAGGGGTTAGGGGTCATTTGTTTCTGGATGTTAGAGTTTAACCTTTAGAGGTTATGGTTTGGAAATTTGTATTAGGGGTTAGGGTTTAGGGGTTCGGGGTTGGGTTTTTTTATGTTTTGGTTTAGGCTTTAAGGTTAGTGATTAGGATTAGAGTCAGGGATTACCGGAATCAATGCAAAGCCCAAACACCCACACATGCATACAAACCAAAACAAAACACCTTGAACTTTTCTTTTTTTGTTGTTGTGAATTTCATTCTCTCTTTGAATTTGTGTTAGGGGTTAGGGTTTAGGGGTTAGGGTTTAGGGGTTAGGGGTTAGGGTTTTGGACTAGTTGTTAAGTTTTTGTATTATGGGTTAGTGTTTGTGGTTTAGGGGTTAGGGGTTAGTGTTTTGGATTAGTTGCTAAGTGTTTTTGAATTTGTGTTAGGGGTTAGGGTTTAGGGGTTAGGGTTTAGGGGTTAGGGGTTAGGGTTTTGGATTAGTTGTTAAGTTTTTGTATTGTGGGTTAGTGTTTGTAGTTTAGGGGTTAGGGGTTAGTGTTTTGGATTAGTTGCTGAGTGTTTTTTAATTTGTGTTAGGGGTTAGGATTTAGGAGTTAGGGTTTAGGGGTTAGGGGTTAGGGTTTTGGATAGTTGTTCAGTTTTTGTTAGGGGTTAGGGGTTAGGGGTTAGGGATTTGAATTAGATGTTAAGTTTTTGTATTATGGGTTAGTGTTTGGGGTTTAGGGTTTAGGGGTTAGTGGTTAGTGTTTTGGATTAGTTGCTAAGTGTTTTTGAATTTGTGTTAGGGGTTAGGGTTTAGGGGTTAGGGTTTAGGGGTTAGGGGTTAGGGTTTTGGACTTGTTGTTAAGTTTTTGTATTATGGGTTAGTGTTTATGGTTTAGGGGTTAGGGGTTAGTGTTTTAGATTAGCTGCTTAGTGTTTTTAAATAGGTGTTAGGGTTTAGGGTTTAGGGGTTAGGGTTTTGGACTTGTTGTTAAGTTTTTGTATTATGGGTTAGTGTTTGTGGTTTAGGGGTTAGGGGTTAGTGTTTTGGATTAGTTGCTAAGTTTTTTTGAACAGGTGTTAGGGGTTAGGGTTTAGGGGTTAGGGTTTTAGGGTTAAGGGTGTAGGGGTTAGGGTTTTGGACTAGTTGTTAAGTTTTTGTATTATGGGTTAGTGTTTGTGGTTTAGGGGTTAGGGGTTAGTGTTTTGGATTAGTTGCTAAGTGTTTTTGAATT